ACACAGGCAGGATTTTCTTGTTGGGGAGGACATCACTCCCAGCAAACCTCTTCCTCTCAGCTCAATTCTATAATGAAACTCATTTATTCCATGATTCTACAAAATTATTGGACTCGAAGGTCTTGGAGCAGCCTGAATTGCAACCTGAGTTATTCTATTCTATTCTATTCTATTCTATTCTATTCTATTCTATTCTATTCTATTCTATTCTATATTCTGTAATCATAATCTATGAATAATTCTATTCTATAGTACTATATAGTATTATTCCAAATTCCCATGGTTTTTATTAAAAGCCTGGTTGCAGGATGCTGCAAAGAGGACGAATTTTGTGGGAGCAGAGCTGTGGTGGGTTTTTCCATGGGAAAAGCTCCGGCTCCCTCCCCAAACTCCACTTCTCCATCCCAAATCTCACTGCAGCTGGTGGTGGCATGGAGACCCTTGGGGAAAGGAGGGGTGGGGACAGGGCAGGGACATCGGGGGGGCACATTTGCTCCGTGTGCCCCCCCTTCCCACCCCCCCGTGCTTGCTCTGGGGGAGCAGGGGGCGGTTAATGGGGTTAATAATTAACGCGGGGCGGTTAATGGGGTTAATAATTAACGCGGGGCCGTTAATGGGCGCGGGGCTGCCCCGGCCCGCGGCTGTTTCACCACAGGCTGCAATCCCTGCGGAATGCGGGATTGGGGCTGCCGGGGGGGAAGCTGCGGCATCCCCAGGTTCTGCAAGGAGGAAAAATCCCCGAGAGTCGGGGCACCTTCATCCCTCCGGGGTTTGGCTGCTGCCCCAGCCGGAGCCTCCGCAGCGGCTGCGCTGGGAAAGGAGCGGGAAGGAGCGGGAAGGAGCCGCTGGATGTTTATTTTCCCGGGACAGCCGGGCAAGAGCCCCGGCGGCTCCCGCTGCGATGGAAAAGCCGCGCCGGGATCCAGCGATCCCGCTCGGAGCCCGGCGCTGCAGGGAAGGGATGGAGCGGGCCGGGCGCTGTCCCACGGCTGTCCCCGCTCCGGGTCCGTCCCTTCCCTCCGAGGGATCGGCTGAGCCTCGGGAGTGCCGCGATGTCCCGGGAGCACGCCCCGGCTGCCGTGAGGACCATCAGGATTCTCCACGCTCATCCTTGGGTATGCCGGGATTGCTCCCTGCATGGCTGCAAGTTGTTATAAAGGGAGAGAGTTCCTCAGCCTGGATCTGCATCCCCCCGTGACTTGTCCGCCGTTCCCGGTACCCAACAAACGCGAGCATCCCATTCCTGAGCAGAGGCTCTGACCCGGTCCGTGCTGACTCAGCCAACCCAGCGTCACTGGCGTCCCTCGGGAGCTTCCCATCACGCAGAATTTTATGGATCAGCAGCAGCTCCTGGCCCACGGACGTCTCCCAGATGCCGGATTCGTTAATCACCACTTCCAGAGGTCAGGCTCCAATCCAGCCCCGTCCAACTGGGCACAGCACAGTTTTCCTCCTGGCTGGATGAGGATGAGGAAACACCAGAGCCAGTATAAAATTCCCTGGAAAAAGCATCCCAAGTCCTGTGCAGGCTTGGGAGTTGGAATCGTTGTGAGTCTTTAAGGAGCTGGAACAGAGGCTAGACGGAGTTCAGAGGAATAAAGTAATAAAGTGGATATTTATTGAAGTGCTTTCACAGGCGACACCCTGGCAGGACCAGAGCCACGGTCCTGGCTCCAAGGTGGAAGCACAAGAGGCCTTGGCCACGAGATCTCAGGTTTTCATAAGTTTTAGTCCGTTTGCATACAGGATTTAACTGCCCAATTAACAGCTTCAAATGATGAAGTTTCATCCTCCTTGCTTGCTTGCCCGCCCTCCTCACGTTGTTTGTGCTTCGGGCCTGAAGTTTGAAGAGATTGTCCGTGAGTCTCCAGCTAGAACAGGATTGGTTTGTCTTCACCACCCTGTGAAAAGATCCCAGTAACACTGAATATAAAGCTAAAAGCTGCACACCGAAACAGAAGAGAAAAACTCAAAAGCCAGGGTATCATTCCAACCCAGGATACTCCATACTGGATCCAAACGTGCTTTTTTCCAGGATCTGAAGCACAGTGTGAAGGACTTGGAGAGAGCTAAGGTGGATTTCTCCTCCCCATGGGCCACAGCCTGAGGTGTCCAGGAGGAGAGCGAATTCCCAGCACATCTTCCCCTTGGTGGCCACGGGATCTGCAGAGGTGGCCACATCCATTCCCTGAGATCCTGCTGAGGAAAATGCCCCTCTCGAAGCTCATTTGGACTGGTGAACCAGATACCCCATCCCTCCCAGTGAGGGATGAAAGAGGGTTTGGAAAGCCTGGGATGGGATCCATGATCCCAAAGTGAGAGGGAGCCAAAGGTGAGGAGCATCACCCCGCCGTGATGTCAGCCAGGCCCTTCTTCCCCATAAAACCCCAATTTCAGTAACGGGGAAAACAGAGAAATTGCTGGATTTTCTACATTTTTTGTTTTCCCTCTTTCTGCCCCAGATCTAAAGAGAAAAGGCAAGGAATAACCACACGGACACCAAGGGTTAGGAATTATTCTTTTAATTTCACATGGTTTAAAATACGATATGAAATAAGGCTACAGTATATAAAAAACTCTCCAGCAAAATGATGTGCCAGCATCAGCAATTCACACAAAACCAATCCCCTCCTTCTCTAGGAATTCAGTGGAGGAGGGATTTTTTATTTTTGAATCCTTTAAAAAAAAAACAAACGGAACCAGACACAACACACGGACACACACACACATCGCTACATCTCTAAGCTACCTCAGCTCAGGTTTTTTTAAAAAAGCACCTGCTTTTTCCTTGTTTGTTTTTTATTTTTTTTTTTAAATCTCACTTTTAAACTTTTTTTTCCCACTTTTAAAAAATATAAATTATATGAAAATACACGTTGGAAAATAGTCAAACAGCACAATATAACAATCTCTTTTTCTTTACTTCTTCTAAGTTTATCAGCTTAAAAAAATGTGTAAAACCAAAATAAAACAAAAAAAAAGACTTCCTTATTTTTGTTTTTTTTTTTTGTTTGT